CCAAAGAGTACTTTCAGTGGTTTAACAGACTTATTTTCATTATGTACACTTGGTACAAATGTAATTTTACTCAAGTAGTAAAAAGAGGCCCTTTGGCTGCTGTAGTCTTTATTTTTTATTTTACATTGACATTGAAAGTGGGTAAGTCATTTGAAGAAATATGATAGCCCTCTACAAAATTGACCCTGGTGACCTTGAAATGCAGTCATTTATAAGATCAAAAAGGCTAGTCATCCATCACAACAAACAAAATATTTTGACTCCAGGCTTTATAGTTCAGTAGAAGTCATTTAAAGTAAATGTTGACAAGGACAATGCACCACCCTATAAGCTACCATGCACTTTGTGGAAGGTGAGTTGACTACAGTGTACAAACCTTGGACTCATCATACAGATGTTGTAGTAACCACACCTGCCTGACCTTTTGAAACTTCCAGCTGGCAATGTCTTCTGACCAAGTTTTCAAATAGTTAATAGCAGCAGTTTGGGCTGAAATGCTTGTGTCTTCAGAACCACTTGGTTTATCCTCCTCATCTTTTTCTTTATTTTTCTTCTTCTTTTTTTTCTTGGGTACCACAGTATCTTGTTCACTGTTGTCTAGCTCGCCTTCTGTCAGTAGATCTAGAGAGAGCATAAACTCTATATGAACTTGTTCCTTCCTTGTAAATACAATAATGTGTTAGATTATCTTCACTTCCACCCTATTTATGTAACAAGGCCATTATTTTTAACCATATTATGTAATACCAAGGTGACATTTAAGACGAAAATCTAGCTACAGTATAAAGTATACAAGAAATGCTCATATTTACGGTAACAAAATATTGTCTTTGTAATACATCTACATCCAAAATTCAAGTTTTGTGAATGTATGCTGATGCCCAGCTAGACATTGCCATACCATAATACATCCTGTTGTAGACAGGCATATAAAACTCTGAAACCCTGACCTGACTAAATTAGATAATTAAGCAGCAATAATGTGCAGAGGTTTTCCAATGTAGTGTTGGTTGAATATCTTGGTGTCACATGCAGAACACATTTAAAAACATATTTATCCCTGTGGCTACATATATCAGTTCTTAAACACATACTACAGGTTAAAAAGTGAAGATCCATTATATATAATTAAGTTTCATACTTTATGTAATATACAGATTTGACATATACATTACTATTCATGTACTGAATAATGTACCGGTACTTAAAATACAGCTAAAATGAGTAATGTATCTGCATATAGGCTATGGAAAGTATTTAATATTGATATAAGAGACATTTAAGGAGAAAGATAACATGTAGCCTACAGTAGGCTATGCATTATGCATGTTACCCTTTGATGGCAATGTCAGCTAAACAATGGACGAATGTGTTACAGGCACAGTCGTTCTGTGTGTGGTTCTTAATCAAAATGGGAACCGGAAGTAAAATGTCATTGCCATTACCATAATATTTGAAAATAACATGATCACAAACGCAGAGAAAAAACTTATGGCTCAAATGACATGTATGTAAATTTACCAGGAATGTCCTCTTTCTGCTTCTTTTTCTTTTTTTTCTTTCGTTGTGAGCTGTCCTTTTCTGTCTTATCTGTTTCACTGTCTTCTGAAGGAGAGTTATCACTAGTAATGACAGATAGCTGTTTTGGTGAGGTCTGTTCTGACACATGTCCACTTTCAGTTTTTGATTTCTTTTTCTTTTTCACAGGTTCTTGATCTACATTTGTACTTACATGTTCACCATTTCCTGCGAGTTCTAGTGACTTTTTTCTTTTCTTTTTCTTTAACTTGTCTGGTTTTGATAAATCATCTGAAATCTGTTTTAGTTCCTTAACCTTGTCAGGTTTTGAGAGATCCTCTTTAAGTTTCTTTTCAACCTTTGTCTTCTTTCTGTTGGCTGATTCCACTATTTCAGCCTCTTTCTCGTAATCTACATTTTTCTCTATATCTTCTTGTTTCCTTTTTGTTTCCTTTTCCTTTTTATGCACTTTAAGACTGTTTTTCTTCTTTTGTTTTTCCATATTAGATGTATTTACATAAAATTCCCAGGCTCTATAATGTATAAAAGAAATGTAACATTAACAGCAAAATTCATGCGTTGATTTTCATATTCACATACATATACTTGTATGACAGTTTCTATTGATTTACCTTTCTTGAAACTAGCTACTATTTTTCATGATTAAAATAAACATACAATAGTTGACACTTCCAATATGTTATTTCACAC